ATACGCCTTTTTGAATGGGGCCAGACATCCAACAAGCCCTTTGTCCATACGTCTGCCGGTGAGCTCCAGTGAGCTTCATACGCCAGTCGTTGGAGGTTTGGAATCAGGGTTTGGCCATCTCCCCTAGACTGTCATCCAATGGACAGTCAACCCGGTGAAGAGCGCCGGGCATCCGCTTTCGCCCTCTCACTTTGGTGAAAAACACCTCCTCCACGTGAAGGCAGTGTGTAGGACTTCCTCAGGAGAGGCTATATAAGATGCCCGGTCATATGGGAGCATTTCAAGAGGTGTGCGGAGGGGTGGCCAACCCGCAGCGCAAGGCACCCACCCCCGACCATCCTGAGGCTTTGGAGGCAGTCCTTTACAGATAGATCCATGACTGCTGATAAGCTTCTGCCTACTCCTTATGCGATCTCCATATCGGCCTGTTGGAAATACTTTTGGTGACTCGCGCGCCAAGTCGTCTATAATTTATATAAAAGCACTGGTTTGATTTTGATGTTTAAAATCCGAATCCTTTTTCTTGTACTGATTGGGGATTTCCACACTGATTTCTCAGCAATGTAGGTCTGTCTTGCTAACTGTCTAACTTTAACATTCTCATTCCGCCTCTGTCTGTAGTCGAAACAATGCTGCCTAGATATGTGAAAGAGGTGACTTCCTTCAGATTTCTCATTGTTGATGACTGGTACTTGCTATTGTTGGTTATGTATCTTCATCACCTTCGTTTTCTTTGTATTCACTTGAAGTCCTATCTTCGCTGCCTCTTCTGTCAATTTGGTCAATACGGCAGACTAATTATTTAGGAAAACCATTGAATTAATAGGCATAGAGTATTATTTCTGGATAACACTTAAAGCACAACTTGTTTTGTCCTTACGATCATATCAGAGTAATCAAATAACATACAAAAGTATAACAAATAAAGTAATTATACAAGGAGAGTATTAAATTGTGCTTGAAATTTCATTAGTGAATAGCACTGCACCATTGGACTTGCCGTTGAGCTTGGGAAGCAGACGGTTAACTGAATATTTTCCAGTCATAAAAACCTGTGAATATGTCTAAAGGGTATTTACCACTTTGCTGAAGTTAAACAATCATGATCCATGCAGATGAGCGATCTTTGAACGAATAATATTAAACATTTTCTCTCGTATATATTCAAATGCAGAATTAAAAAGTGAACTAAAATTTGTACAAAGTAGAACTACCTCAACTTTGAAAAGGCCTTCAGTAGTGTTTACCTTGAAGTAATCTGGAAACTGCCTGAAGACCACGGAGTGCCCCAAACTTTTATCAGCCTTATTCAACAACTATATTATATTGCAACATTCCACATAGTTCACAGCGGACAGCTCAACGAAGCATTTGAAGTGGAAGCAAGAGTGAGACAAGACTGCCAGCTACCATCGATGATCTTCCTGATTGTGGTGAACTGGGTTGTACAACAGACGGTGAGGAGCAAGAAAACAGACATAGGATGGATTTGTCACTCAATAAATAGAGAAAAATGAAGATGGATTGGATATATGCCGAGGACCAATGACCAGATCCATTAGTGATACCCTAATGGAAAACGACGACTTGGGCGTGGGTCCTAGAGTTAAATGAAGAAGGTGGGGTGAAAATGCAAGCTTTTGGGCAATCATGGATTCAGCTGAAAAGGAGTGAAGCCCACTATTATGGTGTGATCGAGTGTAAATATGGCTAACAAGATACAACGGACGATAACGTAACGACTGGTATTGATTAGTAGTTAATTTGCCGTGACCCGAAGAGGAAAATCACAAGACCCTCACGTTCACGAAGACATGTGTGTTTCCCAACAAGGATAATTAACTGTCACACAAGAGTGTGAGTGGAAAAGTACGAAAGAGTTAATTAACTGTACAATACAAGAGTATATAGAAAATCAAAACAAGTGATTCAGCGAAGAGACTCTTTTCAACGAATTTATCATCAAGCTGTACAATCGTATATATATGGTTTTTAAGAAGTTATATCCGGTGAGGGAATTGAATCATAGGTGTGAATGCGTAAAATAATAATAATAGTATGAAATGCAATTAAAACTAAAATGTTTGTGATTATAATCATAGTTAAATGTCAAGTGGCAAAGCAAATTAATGTCATATATAGAATAATTCATAGGATGGATAGAACTTGGAAAAGGGTGTGCAATTATAGGATTAGTAGACAAATCGAATAAAATAAAAACGTTACGTAATATTGTGTGAAATTTGATAGCATAGAATTTAACGTTGTAAAAAAGAATTGATTTAGAATGACAAGTGGAACAAGTGAAATAATACCGGGGACAACTCAAAGTGAGAGTAGTAATAGTAACAATTGACGTAATAAGGAAGAGACTACAAATTAAATAGACAAAATGAAAAATTGGTAGAGCTAAAATATGATTGGGGATTACCATACTTTAGCATAGAGGGATTAAGACCATGAAAGTTGGAGGGGTTGAACGAACTTTTTCTGTACACAGAGATCTGGCTTTTCTGTTTCGATAGCCAAAGCTTCAACAATACAGATGAGTCGGGTACGTAGGGATTTGGGTAAATTACTCTTTGCCTTGTAGATGACTTTAAAGGCGGAGGCTATAGATATAAGGTGATCATTATCGACCAGATGTTCAATGATCGCGCTTCTTATTGCTCCATTTCCACCTTTTCGTGACCATGCAGGATAGTGTTCTTGCAACCTCTTGGACAAAACTCGAGTCGAACGACCGATATACCTAGCTGCACACGAGCAGGTGAATTGATAAACACATAGAGTTGGTCAGCAGCGGGATCTTCTCCTTCAGGTTATTGAACAGTAATGGTCGACTGGTAAAGGCTATTCTCAGAGATGCAGCAGGGATGTTCTGTCCAGCGACTGTGATATCCTTCGTTTTATGATATCGGAAGCTAAGTTCCCTTTGAATTCCAAGCTCATGTAAAGTATTTTCTTGGGTACGGATGATAAGTCACGTTTTATAGGATTTGAATGTATATTCTTGTCTAAAAAACTTGGTGGAAATCCATTTTCTATTAGGATTTTCCTCAAAAGGTATAACTCACCTTCCACAGTATCAGGGCTACATATGCGCCGAATACGAGTGACAAGCAACCGGACCAGGTTTCGTTTTTGACCAATGGGTACCCAGCTGTAGAAATTTGTCAGTTGACCATTCCATGACAACTTTCGATAAATCGATCTCTTCAGAGTTCCATCGGTCCTCCTTGATAAGTTCACATCGAGGAAATGAATGCTAGACTCGTTCTCCATTTCGAGTGTGAGTTTTATCGCAGGATGCAAGAACACTATCCTGCATGGTCACGAAAAGGTGGAAATGGAGCAATAAGAAGCGCGATCATTGAACATCTGGTCGATAATGATCACCTTATATCTATAGCCTCCGCCTTTAAAGTCATCTACAAGGCAAAGAGTAATTTACCCAAATCCCTACGTACCCGACTCATCTGTATTGTTGAAGCTTTGGCTATCGAAACAGAAAAGCCAGATCTCTGTGTACAGAAAAAGTTCGTTCAACCCCTCCAACTTTCATGGTCTTAATCCCTCTATGCTAAAGTATGGTAATCCCCAATCATATTTTAGCTCTACCAATTTTTCATTTTGTCTATTTAATTTGTAGTCTCTTCCTTATTACGTCAATTGTTACTATTACTACTCTCACTTTGAGTTGTCCCCGGTATTATTTCACTTGTTCCACTTGTCATTCTAAATCAATTCTTTTTTACAACGTTAAATTCTATTCTATCAAATTTCACACAATATTACGTAACGTTTTTATTTTATTCGATTTGTCTACTAATCCTATAATTGCACACCCTTTTCCAAGTTCTATCCATCCTATGAATTATTCTATATATGACAATAATTTCCTTTGCCACTTGACATTTAACTATGATTATAATCAAAAACATTTTAGTTTTAATTGCATTTCATACTATTATTATTATTTTACACATTCACACCTATGATTCAATTCCCTCACCGGATATAACTTCTTAAAAACCATATATATACGATTGTACAGCTTGATGATAAATTCGTTGAAAAGAGTCTCTTCGCTGAATCACTTGTTTTGGTTTTCTATATAACAATGGGAATTTTTATGAGTTAAATAGGAAATAACTAACATACATGAGCCATTAACACAGATGGTAGTTTTTCTCACCAGCACTGGATACTGATTGGTTGCCATGTGATGTGATAAAGGTCATTCATTGTTTATTTATTTAATGGACACGTATATTGTGAGTTGTAATGGAATAACAATCATTATACATGTGTGAATAAGGCATTTAGGAGACAAACTTCGTGAAATGATATCATTTCGTAGTTTCTTTACAACGGCTTTACAACTAACATGGTTAACAATAATTAAATAAAGATCATGAACTTTATTTAATTATTGTTAACCATGTTAGTTGTAAAGCGGTTGTAAAGAAACTACGAACTGATATCATCTCGCGAAATTTGTCTTCTAAATGCCTTATTCAAATTTATCAAAGGGACTAAATGTTTTAATCATGACAATTACTCAGTTAAATAAAAAACAAAAGTACATAGTGATGACCAATCATATTTAAATAGGTCATGTAGTCCATGGTAGGCGAAGATTGAAGTCTATTGATTTTCGTACACACAGTTTAGGCTGTATGTGATTAATCCAAAGTGCTTCTATCACCTTCAATAACCTTGAATTAGAGTTATGTGAAATAATTGTAAAACAGTCATTAATATTGATTTTGTGACCTGACATTATTAGGTATTTCGCAATTGATGATGCTGAATTTCCATTCAGATTACTTGCATTGGGATTTTCTATATGATTTAGTAGCCATTTCGGAACATGTTCTTTTTGACGACATTGGAACATTCTGTTGGTTCTACCTATATAGGTGTCACCGCAGCTGCAGGTGAACTTGTAGATACAGTTTGAAGTAGAGTCCACAGAATTTCGTCCTTTAATCGTAGGTACAGGGATCGAAAATGTTTGGCAAGTGAGAAAAATAGATGCGGCGTAGAATGTGCGTTTGATGGCTGACCGAAGTCTTTGAGCTGTCAACTTCATAATCTGGTCACCCTTGAATGGTAGGTTAATAAAGATAACTTTCTTTGGTACAGAAGCTGTCTTTTCGAGATGTGGTCTTTCTCTACTGTGACAAGTGATGAAGGTTTCCGGATAACCATTAGCTAATTAAACTGAATATTTATGTCGAAACTCTTCCATCGCTATGTCACTCGTGCATATTTTTCGGGCCCTTGAGAACAAACATTTCACTAGGGAACGTTTATACTGAATAGGAACAAAACTGTTAAAGTGAAGATATTGTCCACTCCATGTCTGTTTACGAAAAATAGATCGCTGAATCGTTCCATCATCTCTCCTGGTCATTGTAATATCGAGGAAACCGAGTTTGTTATTCGATTCGAGTTCGGAAGTCACTCGGATATTTGGATGAATATGATTAAAGAGGGTAATAAAGTTTTCAATAGATTTACTATTATTACCAATAATGAGAGTATCATCTACATAACGTTTATACAGCATAAATTCTCCAAACATACCTTGCATTTATTTTTCCAATTTTGACATGAATATATCTGCTAACAGGAGCCCAAGAGGGCTCCCCATCGCAACACCATCGATTTGTTTGTATTCTTTTTCTTGGAAGGTAAATCTAACATTTTCTATACACATTAAGATGATGTCTCTGATGTAAGTGACAGGAATAGGTAAGTTTATCCTATTGCTTGTGGTGTAATCGCAAATGAGATCAACAGTTTCATGAATAGGAACATTGGTGTATAAAGATTCTATGTCAATTGAACACATAATCTTTTCCTTAATGTTTAATGTGTCTAGCATATCTGTCAGATCAAATGGACTTTTTACAGAATGATTTGATAATGAGTCTCTTACAGGCCTAAGGACCTCTGTAATCCATTTTGCGATTTTATGGTATGGAGAACTGGACATGTCTAAGATGTGTCTCACTGGGTTCCCAGTTTTGTGGATCTTCGGAAGCAAAATATGTCAAACTGGCAAAACGAAGCAGACATTGTGCGACTACATATCACCCACCTTGGAACCAAAAGTCATAATAATATAATGACAGTAACAAAGTGGGACAAATAAACTTTAGAATAAAGAATAAGAGTAGCTTTTGGGGGGTTCCATGAATTCATTTTATTTCATAGGGATCTTTTCAGCTTGACACAACCTGAATAATAAGATACATAAGTAATCAACATAAAATAATTTTAACATACTTCAACCGAATAACCAGTTCGTTGCATATGAATAGGATAAAACGTCGAAAACAAATACAATGCCCAGATTGTACAGGAAGTTAGAATAATTCAATTCTTAAGCATCGTATGTTAAAAATATGACAGTTGTGTCAGTTTATTGACTAGTCTTCGAACAGGAAGAACATAGGTATTTCTAAAAATGGATACAGAAATAGGTGGGTACATATGTCATAGTACATCATTATGAGTTAAAGAGAAGGGATTAATGCCTATCAAGGTAATGATAAGTAAGTCTCTTTGTCAACACGCATAATTTAAGCTTCACCCTTCAAATGGCGATTACCTCAGCTATTTGCAGTAGTCGTGAAGTGTTGCGTCTTTTCACCACCTTAAATGATTTTGATATGTTCATTTGATGTCTTGTTTCAACCAGAAGCTGGGCTATGGCTCTGTTAACCGAAAATGAACCTCTAAGGCCTAGACTCCGCGGTTAGGTGCTCAGCAAACCTTTCACTTATAAAGATTAATTTCATTCAATCTCCTCTTGTTTTCGCATTCCATTTTAATATATTTTGTTTGCTTTTTTAAAATATTAATTTTTAGATAGCAAATATTTCACCTTCAGATTACAACTATGATGAGTCTTTGAGTACACTAAGATATGCTAATCGAGCTAAAAATATAAAAAATAAGGCTAAAATAAATGAAGATCCAAAAGATGCTATGTTACGTCAATTTCAAAAAGAAATTGAACAACTTCGTAGACAATTAGAAGAAGGTATCTAATGAATTTTTTATATATTTGCAGAATTAATAAAATTTGATATATATATATATATATATATATACTTCGTTTAGCAGATAGATAACTTTCAAGGTGTCCCTCAGCAGAAAACGACAGCATTTAGTGAATCATTGAAAACTAGGTGGAAGTTGCTATTTGTTTCCTCGTAGCTCTGAACACTTATGTGGTGCTTACTCATGAAATCATCAGGTAACCACTCTAGGACTTTCATGTATAGGAACTTTCACTCACTGATACTGAAGATCAGATAGTCAGAAAGTATAAGCAACAAGGAATTCTGGCAGTTTGACGAAACAATCAACAACCTATTGCTCAAAACATATGCAGAGAGAAGAGAAAGTGGAACGACTGTACGCCAAGAATACTTTCAAGTGACATCACACACAAGGCCGTCAAATGGAACCTGGACGGGTTGTCATGAGTTGGGAGTTTGAGGATGATATGGAGAAAGTCAAGTGAAAAGGGAATGAAAACTGGTGGCCATTTGCTTAGTCGCCTGAAAGTATTAGCAGAGGACCAAGTTCAGTAGAGGTGTGCCACTGAAGTTGATGTTCCCCTATGAATGCAAGGAAAGGATAGTGATAAAACTGCTGAAGGTTAAAACTCATACATAATAGAATCCTAACCGCACTCTCATTGGTAACTCAGGGTTATGGGTTCAGTCCCTTTTATTCCCTGCAGTGTATGCTCTTTCCTATCAAAATTAAGTCATTAAAGTTTGACTACTAACTGACTAGGCTTTGTACATATTCGTCTATTCACAAAACGAGGGAAAAGCAGTATGTCGAAAATCGTGATAAAAATGAGTTTTGAAAACTTTCTACATCACTATGTGAATTAGTGGTATGCAAAATAAGTCAGTAGAAGTGAATTAGTTAGGCATCCACTGTTGATGTATCAGATACAGAAAATATTTTTACAATATTAATATTGGATGGATAATCACTTCAATTTTCCAGAAGTGTAAGCATTTATTAATTACTCGAAGTTAGTGCGTTGAGTAATGTAAATGCATTTTTGTTCATATTTTTTAATCCACTAAGTCTGAAGTATTCAAGGTACAATCTTCCAATAAGTAATATTAATTACAGAACCATCAAAAACATGAATAGTAATTTTATTCCACTTCGGAACTCTTTGGCAGTTGAACTCTGAAAAATGGCAGAGGTCGGGTAACATGTACCACTAGAGTTCAACCAAGCTAAATGGACGATGATGTGTTTAACGTGTTTAACCTGCATTGTTGACAGGTGTCTAACTATGGTTGACTAGCCCATTTCCAATATAGACAAAATGAACAGTTGATTGACTCATTCCATAGAATTGTGTTTGTCGTTTCATTCTGCTAAATATTAAGTGATCTAGTAACTTACGTGTTATTATTTAATTAGAAAAAGGATAAAATAACACTCTTTTCTTTTTTTAAGGTGGTATACCTTCAGATCCTGCAAATATTGACGATGAAGTTGATAATGATGATGATGGCGACAACGCTTCCGGTGGTGTTGATAGTCAAGAGAAAAGAAATAGAAAACTGAAACAGAATACTGCAAAACTGAGTAAACAAAAGATGGCTGAAATTCAACGTATAATTGAAGCTGATAGACGTAAATTAGAAGAGCAAAAAGATATGGCAGTAGAAGAACGAAATCGTATTCAGGTAAGAGATAATTGTAAGAGAGATCACTTTTATGATGGTCAGTTTGTTTTCTCTTCCATATACCGATTGACTGACCCTTCTGAAGATTTGAAGTTGTACAAGATTTCCAAAATGTCTAATGTGTATCTATGAATAGCAGAATATGCTGTCGCTGAGACACTTCTGTACTTCACCCCAGTTCCTTACTTCGGTCGGTTGAATCGTTCTACCCGTGTGACTGCATTTGCCTTTTATCGTACACACGAGATTTTATTGCAAATAGTTTCTAATCACTAATTCTTAATATACCAACGTCTTAATTGGATATTTGGAAGTTTTTGAAACCATGAGCATGACTGAATTAAGAATTTACCCAAAATATGTAATCAGAAATTAGAGAATTATAGAATATATATTGAAACCCAACTCAATAACCACTCAAGTCACGTTAAATTAATTTACTTCCTGTGTCAGTGACAAATTGTTATAACAGCTCAAAATAGAACTAATTGGTTGAAGATTTTTCTGAATTACCAACTCATCATAAGTGAATTCAAAAACACAATGGTTAAAACGTAACAAATCATAAAAGTGTATCATCGTGAAAAAAGGATTGAACATTTACAAAACCATACACTGATAAGTGTATATACAAAATTTCCCTGTCAATTCCCAGAAAGGTTTCAACAAAATTAGTGCTTTTTTAGTGTTGGTTTGAAGGAATTTGATTGGTTTCAAATTAGTTTGATAACTGACTTCAGTTAGAGAAGCACTGAAAACTATGGAATACTAGAGAGTTATTTAGTTTTAACTCAGGTCTTTTCGCCATTAAGCATCTATGACTCAACCAGGTTATGAGGCTAGCACAGTCACCATTCAGCCACTGGGATGGATTCCAGCGACCCATGGATTCTAATTTCTGTCAATTCGCGATATATGCCACCGGCAGTTGAAGAGTGCTGTCGTAAAGTCACAAAGTAGGATGAAGAAGTTGTAAAGTACCCCTTGTTTTTCAGTGGTTTTCGAGATCTAAGGTGAAAATAATTTTGTCCATCACAACTGCCGAAGTCATCTAAGCTGTCAATTTAAAACACAGCTTTTGTTACAGCTATACAGCTTTTCTCTTTTTATTAATAATGAGTTCACTGTAAACTAGTTTCCCATAATCATTGGTTCGGTATATCTGGAACATCTGTTTCTCACGATAATTATAAGTCGCTTTTGAATACATATAATCAAATGTTTATATCTAATGGTACCTCAAGCTGGACGGTTAAGAAATAAATGAATTCGAAAAATTCATAAGTCTGTATATATTACTGACTGATTTATATGAGCAGGTGATCTTAACTAATGATTCTTCATCTAGCGTCATTCGGTTGATAGTGGTTAACAGTGAAATCCTATTAAGGATTCGTCAGTCGGATGTGCCTCTATCTCCCATTGTGTGTCAATGTATCCGAAGGAGAGTTAAACTCAGCACTCATTATTTACATCTAACGAGTACTAAATCGGATGAAATGCTCATCCTGGATTCTAATTATCGCCATTATCACCTGAATAACACTTTCTTTGATTGAAGAGTATTAGGTGTAAGTCAGAGGCATAAAAACAGTGTTTGGTAGACTTGGATAGACGAATAAAGTATAACTATATTTCAATGGTTTACACACAATAATAAGTCTTGTTATTGGTAATATTTCGAGCAAAATTACTGCCCGTATTCACACCATTGTTGGAATTGTTTTGTTCGTAATTTTGCTCGAAATATTACCAATAACAAAACTTATCATTTTGTGTAAACTATTGAAATATAATTATACTTTATTTGATTTATTCCACAATGCTCAAACGTTTTACTGACATTAATTGGATAGACGACTTTTAATAAATCCAGCAATAGTGTCAGCTTTGAATGCCAAACTCATAAAGAGTGTGTTCCTTG